CTTATTCTGTCAAGGAACGAACCATCGTTAGAGAACACATTCGCGGGTTTCACGGGAGGAGACCTGGATTTGCCTGATGAGCCTTCGGTCCCCGGAGAGACGGATGCCAATGAGGTTACTAGTGCGGAAGGTTGTGGGTTCTGTGAGTTGGACAACGCCCCGTTCAAGTTACTAACTGAATTTTGCATTGTTAAAGGGAAATATGGGTCTTGTAATGGGGGTAGGAGAAGAAAGGGTGTTGGCGAAGTTTAAGAGACGTTATGTGGAAAGTGACGGCGACATAGAAAGGTCCAGAAATTTCCGAGACGCCGTGGGCTGGAGAAGTCTTTGGCCTCTGAAGCAAACAACAGCAAATTACTAATCCCACTCCACCGCAGGGTCCATTGTCGACGCCAACGTCCATGGCCTTGGCTCGGAACTCGACAAAAACCTCCATGTTTCTACGATAATTGGGCCCAAACGACGCGCCTCTGTTAAACATGCAGAACAATACCACAAAACCGAAGGCCCGCATAGGCCAGGGCGCACAGACCGGCGTCTACAAAGTCGACTCTATCAAAGTGTGTTGCCTATGAACTAATAGCGAATCCGTGTGCTTAAATCAACGGTGTTTTTCTCTGTTCAGGACATTGCTGAATCTCTGAATATAACAATATCAGACAGCGTCGCTTCATCATTGGCCAGTGATGTGGAATATCGAATCAACCAACTCATCGAAGTACAACAGTCGAACTTGTGGAGGGTGTGCGAATGCTTAACATCTTTAGGAAGCAGCACGTTTCATGCGACATGGCCGACGCACAATGATGACCACCGCCGACGTTGATCAAGCTTTACGCGTTCTCAACATCGAACCTCTATATGGACACTCGCCATACAATCCGACCACGTTCCGCCGCGCACTCCCATTCCCACAAGTACCTGCCGCTGGCCCAGTCTACTTCCCTGAAGACGAGGAGATCGACTTCGACCGCGTTCTTCGAGAGGAGAAAATTGCGCTGCCCAAAGGGGTCGGTTGGACCGCACATTGGTTGGCTGTCGAGGGCGTACAACCACTCATACCGGAAAATCCACCTGCGATACCCCGCGATACGGATGGCGATGCCACCGCCAAGGGGGAGCTCTTGAAGGTCAACGGGGTATCGCCAATGGTCAACGGATCGGGCCTCCCTCTAGGCCCGACAGGAAACCTGCCGCCAGGAACGAAGAAGCCTGCTACCGGCCAACAAGCAAACCTACAACAAAACCAGCAGATCGTCAAGCAAGTCTTGTCGCGAGAACTGCAACTATACTATGCTCGCCTGACGTCTTCTCTTCTCCCACCGACCTCCGACTTCTCGAAACGAACGGCTGCATTGGCGAGCCTGCGCAGCGATGCTGGCTTGCAATCACTTTTGCCCTACTTGGTCCGCTGGGTAGGCGAGGGCGTCGTTAGTGTGCTCAAGGAAGAATCTCCAAGCGAGAGTGAAGGAAAAGTGCTCGAAGTCCTGCTGGACGTGATCAGCGCCATTTTGGACAACACCACGTTGTTCGTTGAACCATACGTATGTCGTTTTCTATATCTCGAATGATGCTGTACATCGAATCTTACTCCGATTTCAACAGCTACATCAAATTCTTCCCCCTATCCTCTCCATCCTCCTTCATTCATCTCTGCCCTCAAGTCATGCAACCCAGCTGCGCACAACAGGATCACAGACGCTGTCCAAGCTCCTTACGCAGCACTCGACGACATATCCCTCACTATCGCCACGCATAATGAAGACCCTCCTATTGGCACTTATCTCTCCTGGAAAAAGCCACGGCACCCGGGAAGGCGCCATCCGCGGGCTCGTCGGCGTGGGCAAAGAAGCTGTGAGAAAGGGCCTGGTAGAGGGCGGAGGCGCCAAAGTCGTCGCTGCAGAGGCGGAGGGCCAGGAAGCCGGAAGCTCCTATGACCTCGTCAACTCTGTCATGGTAGGTGTCCAGAGACCCATTTTCCATCTTTTCTTTTTTCGTGATGTTGATCGAGGTTATGCTATATTATAGGATGCTCTACGGGTGCTTCACCCCCAGTCGGACATGGCGGATTCGCTGGATGCGTCGAACGAAGCTGATTCGGAGACGTATGCGCAGCTGAACGAGCTGCTGGGCGAGTTCTTCGCTGCGAGGGTCGCGGTGGATGCTGCGTGGGCACGAGAGATCGTAGGGGCCCCGAAGCCATAGCGCGCAGTCTCGCAGTGCGCGTTGTCTATTCTAGAGTTTTGTGATTGCTGTAATACTTACTTGTGTGTGTGCTTTCTTTGTTTCTGATGCTTGATTTGATTATGCCTAAGGTGGCCCGTCCCCAGCCCGTATCGTTGTGCATGACCGAGAAAAAAAAGGCTTATCTGTGTGGGAGACGATTTGAGTTTCTGAATTTTAGGTGTGAACGCCATGAACCTCCATGAACTGGCCTACAAATTTTAGTCAAGAAGGTTCTGGCGTCTCGGATTTAGAGGGAAATTCGGTCGTAACAGCACCTAAGCACATTAGCTTTCCACATGCATGTAATGCCTCGGAGCCCGCTATCAGAGCCATCCCAGTGGTCCAAGTGTCGTAATTGCCATTTCATGGGAGCTTCAAGCACGCCATGCTCAACATTCGAGGAACAGAAATACAAATTTGAGATTGTAATCTATAAAGTAATGTTAAGTAAGTATTAACAATACAATGTACTTTTGCCAAATGAGATAGCAAAGGACAAACATGATAGCGTAAGACAATGACAGGAAAGGTGAAAGCAAGGTGAAAAACGACGAGTGAGGCGGCGAGTATATAACAACAGCAACGTGGACAAAGTGGTAATCGTTGCATTGTTTTTCATAATTCATTATCTAGCAGGGCCTGGGGAAGGGGTAGTGGTCTAGGAAGAGGAGTCTGACGAGCTTCAGGGTGTTGCCGGAAGTATGACTCAAAGGTCGATGTTTGCCAGGCATGCGGATCGATGGGTATGTCGGTATGGCTGGACACTTCGTAGCTCGGCAAGAAATCGGATCCAAGCCGGGATGACCGTTGGGTGGGCCATTCGACATCCGTGAATGTCATCTGTGTAACTTTGACACTGGAGTTTTCACTCTCCTCGACGCAATTTCGTGTCATCGCGTCCGTGTGAGAATGCCAGGAAGGGCGCCGACGTGCAGAAGGCCGGACAGAATACGTCGTCCGTGATTTATAGGATGTCGAGACTTCGGATTCCTCGATATTGTAGATGCTACGGAAGATGCGGAAAAAGAACATGGTGATGACGAGTAAGTTGCAGACTAGAAGGGCAGTTGTGGCCTGAAGAAATAAAAAATCAGAAAAAATTCCATGTAAGACAACAAGTAAATTATACCACCAAGTGACCTACTACTATCTTTAGGAGAGTGGCATGAGATCCAAGATCCAGACGTCCATACCAGACGGCGCAAAACATGGAGATGGGGATCAGGGTGAGAACACTTGCGGAGAAGGCCGCCACGATAACACGGCGTTGATTTCGTGGCAAATGTAGTTTTCTGAGCATTAAAAAGGGACATATGACGAGCAGGATATCTGCTACGAAGTCGGCTGTGGACAGTGGGTGTATTGTTTCAAAAGAAAAGAGAAATCAATGAAAAGGTGGTCAACGTGGATGACTAGGGAAGCCACTAACCCGTAACACTTATGACACCAGCTATTGCGATACGTTGAGGGCCTTTGAAGCAATCGTTTTCGTTTATTCGATACCAAGGGTGACCCTGGCCTTGACACAGGGTCGTTGTAAGAAAGACTATGAGACAATACATGGAAAAGAAGACGCCAGCAAGAGAAAGTGAGATCCGTCTGGCGAGATGTTGTGCGTGAAATATACGCGCAAGTGAGAGTGCCAAAGAAATACGCGAAAACCTATGGAGAGATAAATCTAGCGCCACAAAAAACTGATAATTGCGTGCCTGATGACTGACCACAAAATCGTAAAGTGCGCGACAGTCGCGACAAAGTAGGCGAGCATTGCATCATCCGATGTTTGGGTAAGACCATCTGTCCATAAAAAACTGAGCGACTTTATTTTGGCGGAGCAGAATGGCGAACAAACATTTGCATCCGAAGCTTATCCAAAAGGTTGAGAGATACGCGCAGTCGACGACGAGCGGAACGAGGGCGAGGTAATCATCGAACCACATTTGCCGTCTTCGACAACGGTGGAAAACGCGGAATACCGTTGAGGAAATGGCCACAACATGGAAAACAGTGATGATTACTGTGATGATACGTGAGGTTATCTGCTTTTTTGCACGACGGTAATAAATCAATGTAGCACTTACCGGCCCATCTAACAGAGATTTGCGTGGAAAGGACCATTTAGTACATGTCCTAAAATTCCCAGCGAAGCAATGAAGAAGGTGGAGAAGAGGGACACAGGAGGAAGACACGGAGAAGTTGGTGAAGGTCGAACGATCCAACTCGGTGGTTTCTCACTGAAGGAAACAAGAAGGAACCATGTGCCAGTGCATCCACAATTTTCTAACTCAGCCTTCCTCGTCAATTCAATCGTAAAGGGGCCATAGATATCTAACCGATGGGAACGTAACATCTACTTGCAGTAAGGCTTACCTGCCTTAGGGAGACTAGGTTTACCCACGCATCACGCCGAAAACCAAGGGCTGGAGGAAAAAGCTCATACAAATGATACATTTGTTTAATTAATCTTGAATCGCCTCGCTAAATCCATATTTCCCGAGAGCATGAATCCGAGTCGCGGTGAAGAACGAGAAAGCTCGTGATAGTCCTTGCGTCAAGACTCTTGCAAGACTCATGATCAGTCTGAGGGTACCTTGAGGCTTGCATCAGTGGATTCAGAAGTACAGGTTATGAACGAAGTAGAAATGTGCATGCCTTGATAAAGCCTTGATGACGGTAGATGATGCCAGTGGACAGCAAAGTGAAAATGAAATATCATAATGGCAGGGCGCCACTGGCAACCCATGGTGATGTGAATTTGTAATTGTCGTCGTCAAGCCCGCCTAGCTCAATCGGATAGAGCGTCAGACTCTTAGGAGGGCGGGTTTACTACCATTCCAATATCTGAAGGCTGCGAGTTCGATTCTCGCGGTGGGCTACCAGGTTACCATCCGACACTTTTTGTGGACAGTTCTTGCAACTAGAAGGCATGTAGCTGACCATTACTGACGGCGCTTGTTTACCCAGGACTATTTTTAGCTTTCTAATTGCGGTCAACGATTCAGAATCTGATTATGGCCTCGTTCAATGTCCGGCTAACTATTTCCAACCTGATAGATCTTTGCCTGAAATCTCTATGTATTTCAGACATTGTCGCGTCATATTTTTGGCGTCATATTTTCAGAAACAATCACTATATTCAAAGCCGTCTCAGGTCATTCAGATCTGAATCAGGTTCAGTTTCTTGCACAGTGCTGGGGGCCGTGTCTTTTGCTTCACCCTTTCACTCTCATCGTTGTCAAAAAGGCTTACTTTCGCGCATGGATCAAGCATCATTGTCGTTTTCCCAACCTTGCCAGGCAACAAACGGCGCTGCGTCTACGCAGCCTCAAGCAGGGACAGCTAAAAGTGAGCATTTTGACATCTGCGCAGTCGAGCGAGTCTCAGACCACATCGTTTTCCTTGAAGATTTTGCCAGAGGGGTTTCGATGCCTGCGAATGCCAATAGCGCGCATCAGGGCAATGCATCACGTCTGCGGGGTGGAGGCGCAGCCAAGGTACGCTGCATATTCTTCCCGGTAATTTCTGTGTGTCTCACAAGTGGAATTCATCGTCCTTTAGGATTGCTGCGTTGGGATCTTGGGTGCATTCGTTTGCTTAGGTATGTTATGTGGATGTCTTTTTTCCAGCTTGTTTTGACTCCTTTTATTTTAGAATGTTGCGAGGTCAGCTCTTATTCCGATTTATTGTACTTGGTCAATTCGTCTTGTGCTGACTTTATACAGGGAATATGCGACTGTGTTGCGGATGTTCTTTGTGAGTGACTTCGAACACACCTACGAGTCGATTGGCTCACGTAGGTTATAGGTTGCCCATGCGAAGCGATGGACTGTTGAACCAATTCCGTTTCTTATCCCTATCTATATTAACGAGTTAAATTTTTCAAGTAACATTGATAGTCTCTCACCGTTCGAAGCATTAAACTGTTTCTTGATACATAAAATCGCCCCGCATAGTATACTTTACTCCTTGAATCACCTCTTCACCACTGTGAACTAGCATGCGTTGTTGAAACACAAGCACGCGACCAACGCGAGGAAAAACGTCCAAGTATTTCTTTTTATCGGGCGTCCAGAACCGCGTGGCGCCTCCAACGAGCGGGGTATCAGGATCGTCGTCGGAGAGCTTGACCAAAGTATCTGAGTGGGCGTTCGCGTTGTTCGCGTCTGTGTCTTTAGATCCCGGGTCTCCGTTCAGGTAGAGATGCAGAGTTACAAATGACTTGTGCACAGCACCGTCTTCACGAACGAGTTCATTCAACCCATCACAGTGAGGTTTAAAATAATGACCTGGTCCATATCGCAAGAAGCTAAGACGCGGGTTTACACTATGCAATATGTCGACTGATCAGCGATGGTTCACTGCGATTCTCGAATGATGTAGGGTCGGCTCACCCAACGAGTCTCCACGACGGTCCTTGCTTTCTGCCCTTCTTACCAGTGATTCCCTCCCATTGTCCACCCACGGCGAGCTCTCCGATCTCAGCCTCCACGAGAGGACGCAGGCGGTCATATATCTTGTCTGCTGATTCTGTATTGATGTATAATATTCGCTCGCTGTTTCTGAACGTGCTGTGCACCGTCTGGGTTTCGCTTTCAGCGCTCAACCCTGCCGGGCTCCACGACTCAGAAGCGACAGCGAGTGATAGCAGAGAACGACATTCTTCCTCTGTGAATACGTCGTCAAGAATCGTGGCATAGAATCCCGCGTAGTGATTCAACTCGGTGTCGGCAAAGTTGATTGGGCGGACGACTGGAGGCATGATGGATTTCCAGTAGTCTCCCGTAGGCAGACTTCGTAAACTACCGATATTCAGTTGATGATGAGTCGATCTACTTCATATGGAGATTTCCAGTGGTTTTCGCCGCAGGCGATGTGGTTGCCGCCGGTTGGAAATATGGAGATTTAGGAAGATAGGGATCGGGTTCAAGCAGAGGCTACGGAAGCTTTAGATCCTGAGTGACTCGCCGAGTCAGGCTCCCTGTACGACATGAGCGCTGGGACCATAACCCAGTAGTATTGTGGGAGAACAACCTGGGACCAGGAACATGAGATGGCCATGGCCCGGGCACGGCCCGACCACATGATGCCAGTGGCACGTATTTTCAGTTTCTATATCACGAACATCAGTAAATTGTGGAAATTTGTGTAATGCCTTATAAGGGCAATATCAGTGCTGCCATATCATGTCACCGGTATAATTTCCAATCATATGGCAGCACCCGTTACAATGGCAATACATCGACACCCCTCCTTAATATCTTTGCCACCATTTTGCTGCCATTCCGATAGCAATGTGTCACTGCTGTAAGGTTGAGAGGGCATTTCAAGGCCTTGTATTGCTAGGTATTTCTGAGTAGCATTTGTAATGGCAATGTAACACTATTCCATCAGTGCTTGCATCGCTTCAAGAATATGGTAGCAGGTTTCAAATCTGATTTATTTCAATACTACTGATACAATACTGGAGAGTAGACTCTACAGAACGGACACTGCTATGAATGTGATCAGAGTGGTAAATAAGAAAACGAGACTTGACAATGAACCGGAGATGCAACACCCAAATTCCAGCTTCAAGATACGACAAGCTTGTACTTGAAGATGACTCGATGACATGGCAGCGCGTGGCTCGAGCATAAAGGTGACGAGCTTGCTAGAAACTCAGAAGCTCTAAAATAAACAAGGGTGAGTGAAGGAGATAACAATGATCCAAGAACAAACATACCAATTGCTCGTAAACGAGGCAAGTTGCAACGTTTCCGACGACGTGAAAGAAACCGAAGAGCTGCTGACTGCGGCGGTCTAGTGGCAATGAGTGGAAGAGATGTACGCCCGTCAGCGCCATCTCCACCATCCATGAACCAAACCAATGTCGGAGTTGGGCTTGGGGCGCTCGTCAGCGTCCCAAGCCCAACAACGACATGGGAGGAGAGACGGGCAGGATCAGAAGTACTCTGGTTCTTTTCCTATAGGTTTTTCGCATTAGAAGGAGTGACCTTGGGGGAGAGCAGCAGCAGGCCGAGGAGGGGGAGTGAGAACATATTGGTGGGAGATAAAGATGCAAGCAACGATTCCGAAGTTCAACCCACATCAATTTCCTTTTCCGACCGTTGAATGCGTTCACATGATCTCCGGCTTAACGCGTTCCGTTCTTTTCCGTTCTGTTCCGTTGTCGAGGTGCCTGTCCCTCAATAATATTAATTCTCCAAGTCCCTCTTACGACTTGAGAAATATTCTTGCAAGAGGTTTGAAGGGTCCGAGTCTGGATGAGTTCTGAGCACTTGGAGTAATTTAAATTCTGTTTCATTCCTGACTCGATTCTTAAGTCCGCGACTCAACATTCAGTAACGTTCAGTAACCTACTCCAAGCAGCACTGCCGCCTGGCTCTGCAACAGAATAAGGCAGAAGCATGATGCGGGTTGACTTCATATCCGCTGGCAGTCGTGAGTTTACAGACTTACGGGGAGAAATAGTTCTGACCTCACTCGGAGCGCGACTCGGATGTCTAGTCCATAAATGGATCGCCGAAGGCTTTCTTCAAGTTGGCGAGATTCAAAGAGGTTATACCCAACCTGAAATACTGATTAGCAAGTTACAATCCTCTGGCAATTATGAAAACTTCATTATAAATTTTAATCATACTGACGAGCATTTACATGACCCCCGAAATGCTGGTACTACTTTTGCAACTGAGTATAATTAATGTCTAATAATGATCACTCGCTCATAACCTTCATATCATTCTGAGAGAGGCAATATATTGATCTATAAGATTTACATGAGCTTACAAAAATCTGACCAGAATATTACATTCCGATAACGTCTCGACCATATCGGCAACCAAGATATAATGCCATATCTGGTGTTGTCAGAAGTCGCAACACTGCCACCGGGTTGTCGGAGCCACAACCACATACCAACTTTTCCACGATTTACTGATGAAGAATTCAGAATGCCACACCTCAAACTACCTATCTCAAGCCACTCTTGCAATGTCCACAACTCCCCCTCTGCTTTACAATGTCTCGAACAGTACTCCTGAAAGCCGGAGCCGAAGCCCCATAGATGCGGTGAGCATTGAAAAGCTGCGTTTCCTTTACCAAGTTAAAGCTAACAGAGATCGCTCTAGTTGAGCCAAGATTTGCTCTGGAAAATATTTCTGATGAACGCGAACATGGAAGAAGACTATAAGGAATCTCATTTCGTGGAAGTCAAAGAGAGGCATCCTCCAGAGTTGTCTGCTTTGACTACGACGGTTCAAACTTCTCACGTCTGTCGCTACTGGCGAGAGCTGATCTTAGGATGGCCGTCCGTGTGGTGCCGAGTGATAGATCTCGACGCGCTTCTGCACAGAAAGGACTGGTGGAAGAATGAGGTGATGCTTAGGACGCAGCAATCCCCGCTTTCTGTGAGGGGGACAGTCAACCTCCGCCAGCCGATCCCGGGGTCCTTTTTCATTTCCCTCTTGAACGACAATTGGGCTAGAATCCGCACTTTTGATGTCATGGTACAGTTTTCTTATGAAGGCAACCCGTCGATGTGGCAAGTTTTCAGCCGTCCGGCACCACAACTCGAGTCATTCAAGCTGACTCTCGATCGAAACGTTCAGGTCAATCCTGTGAGGAAACCCCCTGCCATAGTATTTTCTAACTATGCGCCTTTGCTGCGGGAGTTCGGCTGCCACTCTCTTGATATTTCCTTCTGTGCGTCTGCATTATCGCATATCGCCATTCTGGAGCTTTCAGGACGCATAGAAGTACGCATCACGCCTTCCAAGCTCATTGAAACACTGCAACATATGGGATTCCTCGAATCCTTGACTCTCGATTGGGCCATAGAAGACACGTGGGACGTGGCTCTGAAAGTCGTCAATCTTC